CCCACCCCACGCGTTACACGGATGTGATTTGAAGCTTCCTTGACATTTACTGGTGTTCCACTAGTCTGGTGGGCTAATAGTAGAGATGCCCTGTGGGTCCGTCGGGTCGATCAATGCAACATAATCTTTACTTTTAGACAACTCGTTTAAAGTCGATCCTTACGTAAAGATACATGGATCAAGAACAATAGTTTCGAACGGATAAATCTACCATAAGGATGGTCTCAAGTCGTATTGAATTAGGATCAGGCCGAACAATTTGACACCTCAAATACTTACTTTGCCAATAGTCGGGTTTCATGATCTTAGAGTTTTCCAATTAAAAGCTTTAGATTCTCTCTAATAAGATCTCATTTTGAAACGTACTTCTATTTATCGACAATATCTTCCATTTTCGTCCAAGCAGGATCCGAAGTATCAACCGTATTGGAGACTAACAGGGCGAACTGCTACTTTTTGGATACGATATATCCATCCTAGTCACCATGAGCGTTGTCGGCTCTTTGCCACCTAAGGCTGTAGTATGTTCCAAGGGTTGGGTTGTTCGCCAATTGCGACTGCACTATTCATTCTAGTTTCTATAGCCTTTCTAATTCCCTAATATTCTTGTAGAATTTATAGCTGGACAATTAAATAATCGAGTTTCATTTCAAAAAGCAATGAAAAATAGATTTATTTCACTATTGGAACAGAAAAAAATATACCACAATTTTGAACTATAAAATTGATTATAAAAAATGATTTATTTGCTTTGAAATAAAAATTTCAATCCAATTGAAAATAATGTATATTTGAAAGCTTCGTAGAATCTTCTCGTGGATGGGAGAACAGAGTTGACAAGGCTTCATGGAACATGCTACGAAAGTGGGGGGGTTTTGTTAGTAATCCTTAATTGATGAATCCTCTAGAAAAGCGACAATTTGATGAACTTTCATAGAATTGAGACACAACCACAAAGGTTAATTTCATAAAGTTGATTAACAATTTCGTCTTTGACCTCCAAAAAGAAAAAATATTTTTTAATATGAACAGTAGAATTTTTCTACCGAATGTTTCGGGTGAACTTCTTGTTTTCAAGGAACCCCGTCCCGATTAATATACTTATTTTTTATTATTTTATATAGGTATAAAACAGTGTAATGTAATTTTCATCATTCTTCTCAAAGTTCTAAAATAATTTATTAACTATAATATAGTTAACCTAATTTGTATAATTAATAGTATATAATTAAATTAACATTTAAACTTAAATTGAAAAAATTGTAACGGGGATTGGGAGTTTAGTCCCCATCCGACCTCTAATAAAAGAGAACGGGTGGGGACGGAAAACATGATTCTCGCAACATTGTTGTTCTTAATATAACCTCAAACTAATGAGATATGCTTGTCCTTGTTTCTAATGCCGCATATCTTTTTACTAGATATTTATATATAAAATTATGATATCTGCTAAGAAACCCGTCCAAGCCCAAGAAGTCAAGATCACTAGTTATGACTTTTATTTATTGCACTTATTAGAAAAACGATCAGTAATTATTTCCAGAAATAATACAGTGTAAAAACAAATATGAATCAAAGTGGATCAAGAAAATGATTCTTTTGAAAGACTGTGATTCAAAGGAGGATAGCCCTAGAAGCACTAATTGCTCCGATACCAGATTTGTAAGGATATACCCATTTGTTTTCGTGCTCGTATGAGAAATAACCAATCAATCACGCACAAAAGCAGTAAAAACACAAACCATTGTTCACCCAGTTCCGTGAAAAAGCCTAATCTAGGGAGCTAATAGACTAACATGTTCACTATGTGCAAAATAACCTTCCAAGAGACAGAGATTACACTGAGACCAAAATTAGACACTAGATCTTATCCTTGAACCAAAAGGATCTTACAAATCACACCTTAATCACCAATAAACCAAGAACCCTACTGCCAAACCAAAATATACACATCACAAGCCTTACAGTCGGCCAAAATTAATATAGCAAGATGTATTTCACAGGGTTCTTTCAGATCGATTAAGATCTAATGTGAAATCATAAGAAACAGAAACCAAAAATAGAAGAAGAATCAAGGTCTCTAGAAGAACCCCAAAACTTGGAAAACCAAGACTGCATCCCATCCTTTGAAATGACCCCTCAAATGCCAAACCAATTGTATCATATTAGTTCTCAACCAGTGATCAAAAAATGGACGACCAGGATAACGTTTGAAGAAGCACAACTCGAGTGAAGCACCAACAGCCAATTGGGGGTTGCCACTTGGGCCTTCCACATCCAAATGATGTTTTTGCCCTTACTAAAGTATTGATTTGAGAAACACGTTTTTTACAATCTTCACCTTGGTTCTCAAATTATCTACTGTCTCTAGTATGCTAGATTGCACATAAAACGGACTTGGCCCTATATCATTGCCCAAAGTACTTGCAAGAGAAATCAACCTGTATCAATATGAAGAATAAATTAACATGATCAAAACTTATTAACAGGTAAAATTAATGTGCCCATCAAATGGGTATTCATCAGTGTGAATTTTCTTAAGATTCACTTCACAAGTAGATATATTTTCTCCTATGAAGTGATATTTCACCTCAATATGTTTGAGCTCTCATAATACACGGGATTCTTACTCAATAATAAAGCACTTTGGCTATCAGTAATAATTATTGGGATCTCTAGTAAGAAATTTAACTCAGTTAAGATTCCTTTCAGCTACATGTACTCTTTTATAGATTCAGTGATGGCTATATGTTCTGCCTCAATGCTACATAGGGTAGTAACTGAGATTTCCAGGTAATATAGTTTCCCCACAATGTAAAGAAGAAGACAATAGTAGACTTCCTATGATCTTTCTCTCCAGCGAAGTCTACATATCCTACACAAGTTAGAATTTCAAACCTCTTTTCAAATGTCAAACCAGTGGTTAAAGTTCTAGCAATGTATCTTAGTAACCCTTTTAAGGCTGTACAATGCGGCTTTCCAAAATTTGACATAAACATACTTAAAAAAAACTAATGGTATAAGCTAGGGGCAACATACATATTATATTTTCTTAATAAAATGTCATATTCTTCAAATGGTAAATTTATATTTTTTAATTGAGATATAATATTTTTTATTTCTTCTAACATTCTTTCTAATAAATTATCCAATTCTTCAATTATATATCCTGACATTTATCAAAATAATCATCATGCAATTGTCCCTGTGATTCTTTTAAGATCTTAAAAAGATTCATTCTAAATTTAGCAAAAGTTTAATAGTTTTACCTTAGGTTTGATGTAGTCTGTATTCTTAGAATCGAGTGACTTTCGAGCTCTGAATTTGTAAATTACTTCCTTCAACGGCCTCCTGCCTTTACGGAATTGTTACTATTTCAGCCACTTGCTCTCACTGTATCAACTTCTAAATGATAAAATTCTAGACTTCTATTAAAAAAAACTCTCTTTTTGCTAAAATAAGAAGGAAACTTTCTATTAGATCCTTCAAGAATTTACGGAAAAAAGATTTAGAAACTCATATTGATATTAAAATATTGAAATTTTATTTCTATCTAGATTGATTCAAAACTTCTATTTGATATGAAGGGATTTTCAGAAAAACTGATTTTTCAAACTGAGAATGGCCTATTGCTTACAACTCGAGAATTTAAGAAAGGATGAGATGCCTTTCTCCTATGGTAATGTCTTTATTTATACAAGTTTATGAGACTCTATTACATTATTGATTACATCAGCAAAGGCACTTTTGCCTCTCTATTTTCTTCCTTGGACCTACATCTTCACATGTTGGTTCAACTTTTCTATTTAAAGAGCATCTTTTTCTATTATTGTTCTTTATCTTCAATGTCTTCACGTGTAGTATTATTATCTTTCATACACCTTTTTCAAAATGTGTTTTGTCTTCTTCTTTCATTTCTTCACATGCAGCTAGGGCATTCCTTTAACTGGCAGGATTCTTTTATAGTGGTAGGACATCTTGAAAATTGATGTATATCAAATCTTGTAATATAGTCTTTTAAAATTTTTGATTTTGCATATCCTCCATTGGATATCAACATCCAATTTTCATATTGGCACAGGCACGAGAATTTTTTATCAAACAAATTTTTGGCAATGTTGTAGATGACTTTTATTCCAAGTGCTCTTCTATGTCTGATCCATGATTTTGTCGCTGTTGGGACTTTTATATTATTCTCCGTATCATCAATTTGGAAATTAGCTACAACATATCCAATTGAGATTCTGTGTTCAATTGGATAGTAAACAACTCCATCATATTCTGGACTGATTGAATAGAATTTTAAAAATATCTTCATTCCCTTGGCAAATCAGAATACTTCCTTGATGAATATGTCATCCAACTTTGAAATTTCAATAAAATCTTTTCCTCGATAAATCAAATCCATGAATCCATAGTCTGTCATGATTTTTATAAATGAATGGTCACCACCTTCCATGGCTGTTATTCTGGAGTAAACATTATTTCCCGGAGAAATGAAATATAAATCACTTATTTTTCTTTCATAAGCGATTTTGACTATTTCGATATATTTTTCTTCGTTTGGATTTAAAGGGATTTTATTTTCTTGGTTTATAATGATGATTATTTTAGTATCTCTTTTATCTCCATGTATCATAACTTTCTTGGTTGATGATACGAAAATAGAATCTCCTTTATTATCAGTTGGTATGTTGTCGCGTCTGGGTCCACTGCTGCTTCCAGCTGTCCCTGTTTGGTATTGGTTTAAAAAACTCATTTCTGAGCTCTTTGATATATCTATTTCAAACAGTATATTTTTTAGTTGTGCTGCAATAGCATCAACTTGATTTTTGAGTTCTATGACATATTTATGATGCTCAGTAGTAATATTCAACAATATTTTCATATTTGAGTTGAACATCTCTGAGATTTGGGTTGCTCCAAAACTTATAACTTCAAATTCTTTTTTAAGAAAATTTGTCATTTCTTATATATGTATAATAGATTGGTATAACTCCATGGCCTTGGCTTTATCCATCAGCAAATTTTATGTTTCTGCTAAGAAAATCTGTAAGAAAATTATTTACTCCTCTAATATGAATTATATCAAAATTATAATATGCTAAATAAGTTTGTCATCTATGAAACCTTTTGTATTGTGGTTCTGAGGGTAACTTATTCCTAACTAATCATACAACTTGAGAATTATCAGTTTCAACAATAAATTTCTTGGATAATAAAAACAATGAGAACTTTTTTATTCCTCTAATAATTGCTAGTAATTCTTTTTTATGAGTAGTATAATTTATTTCTGTTTGGTTAAATGTTCAACTTGAGTATCTACAAATTTCATTAAGATCTGTTTTTAATATTGCTGCCCAATATTTATTTGAGGCATCAGTATTAACAATCAAATTATCTTTTTTCATCTGATAATCTTAATTTTGGTAAATTTTTGCATTTTTCTTTTAATGATTTAACTATTTCTGTATATTCTTCATTCCATTCCTTAGTATTTATTTTTCTAAGTAAAACTTGAATTTTATGTCTTTTATTAGACAGATTTTCAATAAAAATCTTTCTGCATAATTTAAACATCCTAAAAAATTTTGAATTTGTTCTTTGAATTCTAATTTATTTGAAAAACATTCTATCTTTTTGAATATATGAATATGTAATTTTATTCCTTTTTTATCTATTGAGAATCCAAGAAAATCTATCTCTTGTTTTTCTATTATAGATTTCTTTTTAGATAGTACAATTTCTTTTTTTTTTTAACATTCGTTAATATATTGGATTAAATGATTTCTATACTCTTTTTTACTATTAGAACATATTAATATATCATCAATATAAACTATTAAAATTTCATTAAACCTTTTGAATATATTATCCATCTTTTTTTGATATATTTGTGGTGCATTTTTCAAACCAAATGACATAACTAACCATTCATATTTTTCTTGATGTGTGCTAAATGCAGTAAATTGTATATTATCTTCTTCCATTTTTACTTGTCAAAATCCTAATTTAGAATCAAATTTAGAATAATATTGTTTTCCTCTTACAAGATTTATTAGTACTTCTTTATTTGGTAGAAAGTAACCATCAAATCTAGTATATTTATTTAATTCTTTATAATTTATAATCATTCTAGCTTTTCCTCTAATTTGTTCAGAGTGTTTCATAACCATAAAGGTTGGACTACTATGAGATCTATTACTAAGTCTAATAAATTTTTGTTCTAACAATTCTTTTATCTGATTTTTAAATTCTTGTGTATCTTCTATAGTATACATCATTGATCTTACTCTTATTATAACATTTTCTGTTAATTCTATTTTGACTTTTGGGTGATGTGTTTTCCAAAATAATAATAAATTTTCTCCATAAACATTTTCTAATTGTTCAATGATTTTTTCTATATTTATTTCAATTCCTATCTTTAGAACCTTTTTGTATAATATTCTTTTATTTTTTATTTCATTATTAATAATTGATTTTTTCTCCCATTTATCACCACGCTGGGCTGACTGAACTCTATAAGATTTATATTCTTTAGGAATCTTTAATAAGTGAACTCTATAAGATTTATATTCTTTAGGAATCTTTAATAAGTGTCCATAAGGTATTTGTAGCATTATCATATAATTATTTTGTTTATAATATTGAAATTGTTGTATAAAGTCATTTCCTAATAATATATCAAATTCTAACTTATTATAGTTATATACTTTATTTATTGTAACTTGTTTACTTTCAAAAATTATATTAACTTTATCAGCACTATTAATTATTTGAGTGCTTTTTCTTGTAATTTCAGTTATTTTTATATTACTATTATTATTCTATGATTTTATTAAAAAAACTTTTAAAAATTGTTATATCACTTCCTGTATCTATTAAAGCACTGGTTGTTATATTTATTTCTACAATAGTAATTTGTATATACACAGCTAATGAAAAATTTATCTGATTATTCATCTAATTCTTTTTAAATAGTGTAGTTTCCCATTATGAAAATATATAATCATTTTCTTTTTATATTATAATCTTCTAATCCATTTAGAAAACTCATTCCTAAAAGTATATGAGAGTTTATATCCATACTTCTATTTATATAACATGGTACTAAAAGATTTATTCATCATATTTTTATTTGTACCTTAACTTCCAAATCTTTAATATGTATTTGTCCATCAAAATTTACATACTTATATGGTTCAATTTTATGAGTTACTAATCATTTATTTCTATTTGAAGGTATATGACATTCACTAGCTTATGTATCTATTAATATATTTAGTACATTTATATGTTCTCTTCCATTATATTATTCCCCTTCTATTTTCATATTTCCAGCATTTCTATATAATTTTATTTCTTTTATTTTGTTGATTTCTTCTAACTAGTTTTTATTAGGTATTTTAAAACTTTTTAATCTTTTAATTAATTTTCT